TCACCTCAGCCTCCCAAAGCGCGGGATTACAGGCTGAGCCACCGAGCCCGGCTGTTTTTTTTTTTTTTTTAATTAATTCGTGCGTTTTCCTCATTTGCTTCTCGAAGATTCTCACTTCTTTCCAGGAAACGATCTTCTTAGTGAAAGCACTAACTCGTTCAGTAGACTTCAATACAGTCTTGTATTCAGTAGATTAGGTGAGACATTCAACACCGTTACTAAATTAGGTCTTATGGCAGATGATTTTCCCCAATTTTAGGTTAATGTAAGTGTTCTGAGTACCTTTAAAGTAGACTGGGCACGGCAGCTCATGCCTGTAATCCCAGCACTTTGGGAGGTGGAGACAGAGGATTACCTGAGCCCACAGGTTCCAGACCAGCCTGGGCATCTTGACAAGACCTCACCTCTGCAATAAAATATAAAATAAAATAAAATAAATTAGCTGGGCACGGTGGCGTGTGTCTGTAGTTCTACCTACTTGGAAGGCTGAAGTGGAAGGATTACCTGAGCCCGGCAGGTTGAGGCTTCGGTGGCTGTGGCTGCACTCCAGCCTAGGTGACAGAGTGGGACTCCAACTCTAAATAAATAAATAAATGATGCTGGGCTAAGCTATGTTCTGTAAATTAGGTCTATTAAATGCATTTTAGACATAGTATTTTTTATTTGAGTTTACTGGGACATAACCCCATTGTAAGTGAAACATCTCTATTTCTAAATTCCATAATTGTCATTATTTGTCATATTACATTTTTAAATTTCATTAATGTAAAAAAAGCAAGGAATCATCTTGCATATATTCAGTTTTCTATATAACAGTTATTTGTGTCAATCATAGTCGGTGTCAAAATGGTCTGTTACCAAGAAGAGCCATCTACTCAGACTGGGACTCCCCTGGATAGTTGGAGCTCCTACTCAGAAACCTGACAAAGCACCCCTGTTGTTCAGTTTGTAGTCTGATGAAAGCACTCTCACTCTTGCTGCTAGTGTGCTATAAGAATATGTTTTTTAAAAAAGGTATTAAAACACCCACTTTGGTCAGAAAACAAGTTACAAGAGTTTAAACACAAACACACAAGTTTTACGAGTTTAAGTTCTACTGTGTCACAGAATGAATATTCTCAGGTTCGCTGTGTGTTAGGAAGGTTCTCTACACTTTTCAGCCCCTAAAGGTGGAGCCCAGGCCATTCCAATAAGCAAAAAGAATCCAAGGAGATGTTTTCTGGTGATGCCTCACACACATGGCATTTTCCTCTGTCCCTTCTCATGGCAGGCCTTCATCCTTAGCCTTTGGTCAACAAGTACTTATTTATTTAATTTTGAAACAGAGTGTGATGCCCAGGCTGGAATACAGTGGCATGACTGATCATAGCTTACTATAGCCTTGAACTCCTAGGCTCAAGCTATCTTCTGCCTCAGTCTCCCAAGTAGCTAGACACACTTATTATTATTATTATTATTATTAGTAGTAGTAGTAGTAGTAGTATAGTAGTAGAGGTGGTGTCTCACTATGTTGCCAAGGCTGATCTCAAACTCCTGGCCTCAAAGGATCATCACACCTTGACCTCTCAAAGTTCTGGGATAATAGACATGAGCTACCTCATCTAGCCCAGTCAGCACTTACTGAGCACTTACTATAGGTGAAACCCCTGTAATCGGTACTGAAGGAACAGATGTGAATATGACTCATACTTAGCTTGGGCCCTTACAGATCTTATGGCTAACAGAGATGGAAAAGAAACCAGTTTTTTTTTTGAGTTAGAGTCTCACTCTGTTGCCCAGGCTGGAGTGCAATGACACACTCATGGCCACTGTTAGGCTCAGGTGATCCTTCCATCTCAGCCTTCCAAGTAACTGAAACTACAAGATCGACCACCATGCTCGGCTAATTTTTTTTTTTTTTTTATTGTAGAGATGAGGTCTCACCAAGTTGCCCGGGTTGGTCTCAAATCCCTGGGCTCAGGCAATCCTCTTGCCTCTGACTCCCAAAGTGTTAGGATTATAGGCGTGAGCTACCATCTCAATAAATAAATAATATTTAAAAAGAGGTAATACATACTCAAAACTCATTATATTTTGATTATTTTACTACATTTTACTTTTGTTTGGAGTCAGAGTCTCACTTTGTTGAACAGGCTGGAGTGCAGTGGCACTCTTATGGCCACCACAGCTTTGACAAGCTGGACTAAGGTGATCCTTCTGTCTCAGCCTTCCAAGAAGCTGGAACTACAGGTATGTGCCACCATGCCCAGCTAATTTTTTCATTTATTGTAGAGATGAGGGCTTGTCAAGTTGCCCAGGCTGGTCTTGAACCCATGGGCTCAGGTAGTCCTCTCACCTCAGCCTCCCAAAGTGCTGGGATTATAGGCGTGAACCACCACAGAAAGGCCTAATTTCAACACATAAAAATCCCCTACATAGCTACAAGAAAATACCAACAACCCAATAAAAATGTGCAAAAAATTTGTACAGACACTGAACAGATAAGGAAATACACAGAACTCTTAAATATAGCCGAGCTCGGTGGCCCAGCCTGTAATCTGCACTTTGGGAGGCTGAGGTGAGTGGATTGCCTGAGTCCACGGGTTTGAGACCCACCTGGGCAACTTGACAAGACCTCATCTCTACAATAAATCAAAAAATTAGCCGGGCGTGGTAGCACGCGCCTGTAGTTCCAGCTACTAGAAGGCTGAGGCAGAAGGATTGCCAAAGCCCAGCAGGTCGAGGCTGCCATGGCCGGGAGCGGCTACTGCACTCCAGTCTGGGTGACAGAGTGAGACTCCAACTCAAAAAAAAAAAATCTCAAATATATGAAAAGATGCCTAACCTCACTCACCATATGAGAAATGCAAATCATGTTTAATTTAGTATGTTTGCAATCATCAAAAAATTTGATAGCATCGGAGAGGGTATGGGTAAAAAGGCCTTACCTGTTTGTTGGTGGGAATAAAAATTGGTAACATCCATGGAGAGCAATTTGGCAATTTCTACCAAAATCAAAATCGCAAACACCTGTACCCTTTGACCTAGGCTTTTCAAGTCTAGGAATTAATTACCTTACATATTTTCACATAGGTAAAATGAGAATGTATAGGTTATTCTTTGCGGCTTTGCTTGTATTGGCAGAAAGTTGGAAACAACTGAAATGTCTGTCAACAGGAGATCAGCTAAATGATAACACATCTGGCTGGACTTGGTGGCTCATGTCTGTAATCCCAGCACTTTGGGAGGCTGAAGTGGGAGGATCACTTGAGCCCAGGAGTTTGAGACCAGCTAAGACAATTTAGCAAGACCTCGTGTTTACAAAACATTTTTTAAAAGCCAGGTGTGGTGGCATACACTTGTAGTTCCAGCTACTCAGGAGGCTGAGAAGAAAGGGAGATTGAGACTCAGGTGAGCTGTGATCATGTCCCTACACTTCAGCCTGGGCAACAGAGTGAGATGCTGACTCAAAAAAAAAAAAAAAATTATGATACATCCATACAGTGGAATACTCTGCAGCCAGAAAAAAAAGTGAATTGTACGCACTGTAATGGAACAATCTGTAGGATATGTTACATGACAAAAGCGAGGTGCAGAAAAGTGCATATAGTTTGCCTCCATTAGTGTAAAAAAATAGAAAACTCTAAATGTGATTGCTTGTACATGTGCAGATCATCTCTGGAAGGAGGCACAGGCAACTGGGAGTATTGGTTGTTGTAAGAAAGATTAAGTGGCTGGGTTGCAGGGTGGGAGAAAGACTTTCTTCATATGGGATTTTGAACTTTTGAACATTCATTTTTTTTTTAAAGCATACAAACTATAACATTTTTCACAAATGTGAGCCTGCAACTGCTTTTATGTTGCCTGTGTGAAAATGAAGCAACGTCAGAGGTGAGCATAGCTGAAGAATGGAAAAACAGATCCCTGCTGATGTCTTTTGAGTACCTGGATCCTG